ATAAACTACTTGTGATAGCCAAACTTTTAAAACCAAACATAATTCTGCATATTGCTTCATGTTTTGTAAAGCCATTTCATTTCAAATTCAAAATGCCATATACGTTATCACTTCCAAATGATAAAAATCAATGGTCTTGAGCATAAGTGACTTCAAAGGTTATAAAGTTAAAAATAGTGGATCTAGCACTCAGATGTCATATAAACTGTGGAAGACTTAACATGGAATATATAGAATAAGGACTCTTTTCTAGTCATTATTTCAATACCTTCTGAGGCATTAAATGTCCCCCCCTCCTTTAGCATCTGGTGTTTTCCTTATTCCCAGAAACATAATACAATTTATGTAGGACATGTCTTCAGTAGCTCATAGTTCATAAAGCAATTTCTCAGTTATTCTTTCACTTAATTTTTTCTTTAGTTTGCCTCCTTAATGAAAACAAACCTTTCTTGATAGAACCAAATGAAAACACTCACCTGGTATAACAATACCTGCCCTTTTTTCTTGATGAGTGACTGGGTTGTAAAAGCAACAAGTGATAGGACCATCAGTGCTGTTTTTGAGAGAAACATTCATACTCAGGTGCAATAGTCCAGCTTCATCCTGAGAGTAAGATTTTGATGTGTGTGGGATTGCATTCCCCTTGCTGTCTCTCCACTCCATCTTGGCTTGTGGGAACCACCCTCTGGAGCTGCACTCCACCACAAACTCTTCTGTGTCAGGAGTATGAACAACAATCTGCATATCCAAGCCTAGAGCTGGAAAGAAGAGAGAAATGTCATGAACAGTCATTGGTGTGGACTCCAGAATTGAGAATTAAATGGGTTCCTTCATTCTCTGTGTCCTGCTATATATGCCACAAGTTTAATGGGGGTGGCCACAATTAGGGCAAGGATAATACTCCCATCCTAATGAAAACTAGCAGAACATAAAAAATATCAGCTATGGAAGAAAAGACTGATAAATTAGATTTTGTGAAAGTTAATGTTTTTTATTTATCAAAAGACAACATGTAAAGAGTGAAAAATCAAGCCATAGACTAGAATAAGACATTCCCAATAGATATGAGAAAGGGGTTGTGTCCAAAATATATTTTAAAATATTATTAATAATAATACAGACAAACTTGGTTTTTAAAACAGGCAAAATATTTGAAGGGACATTTACTTTTAAAAGATATCCAGATAACCAATAAGTATATGCAAAGATGCTCAATATCACCAACCATTAAGAAAATACAAAGAAGCACCTCAATGAGATATAACTGTACCCCCACTGGAATGTTAAAAATGAGCCCTGGGACTGACATTACCAAAGATTAGAGAGCCCTCTCTCCTTTACAGCTGGCTCCAGGACTGTACATGAATTCAACCTCTCTGGAAAATTGTTAGTATCTACAATGTTATGCATATACCTCTTATTATGACCCAGCAATTTCACTCCTAGTGATATGGAGTAAACTAACAGAAATAAGTACTATCAGAAAAAAAAAAAATCTGTTCAAGAATATTCATGACAGCATCATTCATAGTAACCCAAAACTGAAAGTATCCTAAATGTCCATTCATAGCATACAGTACTGCAAGAAAATGCAAAACAGCAAACTTCTGCTACTCACACCATAAATGAATTTAAGTCATACATATATCAAGTTCTAGAATAGATGAAATTATATATATGAAGACAAGTTAGAATAATGGTTACCTCAGTAGGAGAAGAGTGATGTTGACTAGAAAGGGGCAAAATGGAATATTTGGGGGTTCTGTAAATATTCAGTGCCTTGATCTGAGACCTGAATTCATGGATGTCCCTCTATGTAAAAATTCATTGAGCTGTGCATTTAAGATTTCTGTACTCTACTGTATGAAAAGGATATCTCAATACAAAAAGAAAAATAATTCAATAAACCCAGGACAGAACCTAACTGAACTGGGTACCCCCATCTCTGCATTAACTATTTTGAAATTTGTGTCATCACTTCCTGAGTGCTAAAACTAAATCAAGTTCTTTGGGGGGAATAGAATGGTACACAAATAATAAATGAATATAATTTTTTTCAAGCAGAAATTATGTGTTTAGTGTGTTGGCTGACTGAGATGATAAGGGAGCAATTGAACTAACCTTCCCACTGGAGACAACCAAAAAGATGGATGAAACACAAAAAGCATCTCCAGAAATTAAATTAAAATCTGGCAAGATACAAAGTCACTACAGAACCTAGTCAGGGAAATCATGGGGATTTGGGAAGGTTTTAGCCATTTCTGACTCTGCAGTATCCACTGTCAAGAGACAGAAGCTAATGACCTCTTTTAGTGAAGT